TATTATATTTTATTTATTATAATTAGATAAAATATTTATAAATTAATATTATTTATATTTTATATTTATATATAGATTTTTTTTCTACATTCACTTTTATTTTTTTATTTATGATATTATTTATGATATTATTATTTATCATTTTAATTTTAATAGTATCTGCACATTTATTTATTTATTTACATAAGGTCAGAAATATTTTTTAAAAATTATATTAATTTTACCAACCCCTAAAAGAAAACTTTTTCCATCTTTAGTATCTACATACACTTCTACTTATTTATTTATAAATAAATAAATAATATTTATATTTATTTGACCAACCCATAAAATATGACTTTTCTATTTTTAGCAACTTCATACACTTCATTTAATTAATTTATTTATTCATTATTTTATTTTATTTATTTTTTATGTTTTTCCCAAATGAGGACATCAGTAAGTGGAGGTTCTGTGAGCTTCACCTCATGTCTGGGGACAAATTTGTTGCCAAATTGCACGTTTTCTATTTTATTCTTCTCAATGTTCAAATATCAGAGCTGAGACTGTGTGTGTTTGTGCAGTTATGGGATGTTTGTGCATTTCTGTCATCAGCACTCAGAAGAATAAGGAGCCTTCGCCTGTGATTGGTCAAAGAGGCATTTCACCAATGGCTCCCTCTGCTGGACACAACCAGCTTTCAGACCAGAGTCCTCTCACGCTGCGCAAAGGTGCGTTCAGCATGTGCAATATAATAAAATCACCATGCAATGAAAACAGTAATCGATGCATTTGAAGTGAATTTTACTCATGTATTTAAAGTCATTCACGTTATGGTTAATATACAAACACTGTCCCCTTTCCTTCAGTTTCCAAAAAGCTGGTCCCCATCCCTCCCAAGGGTCCGTATTCTCCGTCGAGCTGTGTGTCGGATCTGTCTCCGGGTCCGTCTCCGGTCAGTCTGTCCCCGACGCCCCCCAGCACCCCGTCCTCATACAGCTTCAGTTACCCACAGAGCGGCTCCGTCCTCACCTCGCCCGGACACAACCACAGCCAGACGCTCACCGGGACCCTGCCCAAATCACGGCCAATGCCCAAACCGCCCCGCCAGAGACCCAACCTGCCCCCGCCGCAGCCGCCGCAGCCGCTGGAGCACACGCCGGGCCTGCTGGACGCGCTGTCCGCGGGAGAGAGCATGTCTACAGGTACAACACCACTGACTTCTGGGAATTATCAGCGAGCGTTCTTCCTGTCTGCTCTCTTCTTAGGCAGCTCACTGATTACAATGGAACCTCAAAAGTAACAAATCTGAAAAGAAGCAGAGTGATACAATTCAGTCGTTTTCGTGTAATGGAAAATTTGTGTGTGTGTGTGTGTGTGTGTGAGTGAGTGAGTGTGTGTGTGTGAGTGTAAGTGTGTGTGTGTGTGCTGGTATATATGGTTTATGAGGACACAAATGTCTATAATGACATGGGTACTACAACGTAAACATGGTTTATGAGGACACTTCCTGTGTCCCCGTAAAACAAAAAAAGGCTTAAAAAACATACAAAAGGGTGTTTTATGAAATTCAAAAATTGCCAGTAGTTTTCTGTAAAGGGTAGGTTTAGGTGTAGGGTGCTAAAA